GTGGCAGCTACATGGAGCAGTAGATAAAACTCTAACCTTGGAGTCAGGAGAACCAGAGTTCAAATCTGGCCTTGGACACTTGATGCTTACAAGCTATGTGACCCTGGGCAAGTCACTTGACCCAGACTGCCTCACCAAAAAATCAAAAAAAAAAAAAAAGGCAGAATGGGCCAAATGGGAAAGGAGGTCCACAAGCTCACTGAGGAAAGTAATTCTTAAAGGAGCAGCTAAGTGGCGCGGTGAATAGAGCTCTGGCCTTGGAGTCAGGAGGACCTGAGTTCAAATCCAGCCTCAGACACTTAACACTTACTAGCTGTGTGACCCTGGGCAAGTCACTTAACCCCGATTGCCTCACCAAAAAGCCAAAAAACAAAACAAAAAAATTAAAATTAAAATGGAAGCTAATGACTACAAGAAATCAAGAAATTATAAAACAAAACCAAAAGAATGAAAAAATAGAAGACAATGTGAAATATCTCATTGGAAAAACAACTGATCTGGAAAATAGATCCAGGAGAGATAATTTAAAAATTATTGGACTACCCGAAAGCCATGATCAAAACGAGAGCCTAGACATCATCTTTCAAGAAATTATCAGGAGCAGCTAGGTGGCACAGTGGATAGAGCTCCAGCTTTGGAGTCAGGAGGACCTGAGTTCAAATTTGGCCTCCGACACTTGACACTACTAGCTGTGTGACCCTAGGCAAGTCACTTAACTCTTATTTCCTCACTTAAAAAAAAAAGAAATTATCAAGGAAAATTGCCCTGATATTCTTGAACCAGAGGGTAAAACAGAAATTGAATGAATTCCAGAAGAAAAACTCTCAGGAATATTATAGCCAAATTCCAGAGTTTCCAGGTCAAGTAGAAAATATTGCAAGCAACCAGAAAGAAACAATTCAAGTATTGTGGAAACAAAATCAGGATAACACAAGAATTAGTAGCTTCTACATTAAGAGATAAGAGGTCTGGAATATAACATTCTGGAGGTCAAAGGAGCTAGGATTAAAACCAAGAATCACCTCCCCAGCAAAACTGACTATAGTCTTCAGGGAAAAAATGGAAATTCAATGAAATAGAGGACTTTCAAGCATTCCTCATGAAAAGACCAGAGTTGAATAGAAAATTTGACTTTCAAAAACAAAACTCAAGAGAAGCATGAAAAGGTAAACAGGAAAGAGAAATCATAACAGATTTATTAAAGTTGAACTATTTACTTTCCTACATAGAAAGATAATATTTGTAATTCATGAGATCTTGCTCAGTATTAGGGTAGTTGGAGGGAATATATATATAGACAAGGGGCATAGGGTGAGTTGAATATGAAGGGATGATATCTAAAAAAGAAAATTAAGGGATGAGAGAGGAATGTACTGGGAGAAGGAGAAAGAGAGAGGTAGAATGAAGTAAATTATCTCACATAAAAGAGGTGAGAAAAAGCTTTTACAGTGGAGGGGAAGAGGGGGGAGGTGAGAAGGAATAAGTGAACTGTACTCTCATCAGATTTGTCTTAAGGAGGGAATACCATACACACCCAATTGGCTATGGAAATCTATCCTACCCTACAAGAAAGTAGGGGGGAAGGGGATAAGAGGGAGGGGTGATTGAAGGGAGGGAAGACTGGGGGAGGGGGTAATCAGAAGTAAACACTTTTGAGGAGGGACAGGGAGAAAGGAGAGAATAGAATAAATGGGAACCGGGATAGGATGGAGGCAACTAGTCTTTCACAACATGACTATTATGGGAATGTTTTGCATGACCACATACGTATGGCCTATGTCAAATTGCCTGCCTTCTCAATGAGGGTGGATGGGGAGGGAACAGGGGAGAGGATTTGGAACTCAAAGTTTTAGAAACGAATGTTAGAAATTGTTTCTGCATGCAACTGAGAAGTAAGATACACAGACAAAGGGGTATAGAAATCTTTCTTACTCTACAAAAAAACAGAAGGGGAAGGGGATAAGGGTGAGGGAGGGGGAGAACAGATTGGATGAAGGGGGAATCAGAATGCAGGCCGTCATGAGGTGGGGGAGGGGAGGGATGGGGAGAAAATTTGGAACTCAAAATCTTGTGAAAGTGAATGTTGAAAACCAAACATAAATAAATAAATAAATAAATTGGGGAGAAAAAAAGAAATGGTGCTAGACAAAGCACTTTTTAATCTGGATCTTGTTGCACATGGATTGGGCCTTTAAAAGGATGTGATTAAAAAAATTGTGGTAATTGAAACTGTGAAATATTTGATAAGGAATATTTAGTTATAAACAGGTAAAAATAAAAATGATATTTACTACAATAGCAAATTTTCATTTGAAAATCTTGGCTATTATGGAAACATATAAAGTGGTTTAAAGATGTAGTTTCAGGGATAGCTAGGTGGCACAGTGGATAGAGCACAAGCCCTGGATTTGGTAGGACCTGAGTTTGAATCCAGCCTCAGACACCTAACACTTAATAGCTGTGTGACCCTGGGCAAGTCACTTGACCCCATTGCCTAGCCAAAAAAAAAAAATCCTAAAAGATGTAGTTTTAACATATTAATGATGAGATGAATGATTTTCTGTGCAAGGTAATTTGGAAATGTGTTCACCTAAAGTGATTATGGGTTTGGTCCAAGTTTTAAATACATAATATTGTTTGGGGTATTGTTATGTTTCTGAATTGAATAATTTGGTAAACAATTGTATCAGCTATGTTGTTGAAAAATCAATTCCTCTCACGACCTAGATGTTACATTAAGAATTGTACACCCCTGCACAAAAATGTATGGGAGGATGAATAAGTTAGGATAAACTTCTAAGTTTTGTCTATATTTAAGAGGAAGCTTCACCTAAAGTTGTTATCAACCCGGTGCAAGAGTTTTCTGTGTTGTGGAATTCCTACTGAGTGAATGGGAATCCTTGTACAATATAGGGGTGTGATTTTCAAGCCTGTTTCATCTATGTATATACATTTACATTTGTGTTAATTTGAAGGTTTGTGAACTACCGCATCCACTATTTATGTGAGATTCCAGAATGTAGTTATTTTCTTAATTTCTAATGATATATTTAAGGACAAAGGAAAGATAAGATACTGAGTAAATTTTTAAAGGTGTAAACTTTGTTATTGTGATAGGCTAATTTAATGGGGCATGTTCTTCTTGGTTTATAAAAACTGAATCTCCTCCCTATTGCAACACCTTTTTGACTAGGAATTTTGTGATAACTAGAAATTCTGTGTTAACTAGGAATTTTGTGATGACTAGGAATTTAGTTTGTTATAGCACTTTGGGAATTTATGTTACGAAGGATATTTTATACCAATTTAGTTTTAATGAATTCCAATTTTAAAGGTTTATTTATGCTTTAAGGTAGAAAAGAGAGGTATAACTTTTAAACTGTTTTTAAGGGGAAATATTTTTAGAAATAAATAAAAAAATCTCTTGCATGATTTTTAGAAGGCTTACTAAATTTTCATTTGCAAGATAATCTATTGCTAAATTATTCTAGCGAGTTGTAAAGTAGAAGAGATCTTACTGTTTTAATCTGAATTGTAGTCATTTCATGGCCTAAGCAAGAGTTAAATTAGTGTCTGAACTTATCATATGTATAAGATTCAATTCCTGAAGTATCATTCTTTCAGGGTGAGGCAGATAATTAGAGAAGGGTAAACAAGCTTGTAAAACAAGGATGTAAATCTATCAAGCTGTGAAGTTGAAGTCAGGAACTCCTTTTGTTTTTGTTTAAGGAATAGGATTTCAGTACAGATAGTTATGTTAGTGAAGAGTAGTAACGTATGAGCTCTTCTGCGTTATCTTAATGGGAAATCTGATTTTACTCATACCTATTATTTAATCTGGATTAGAACATGTGCAGAAATGTACACAAACTGCTCAACTCACCTTAAGATGTTCCCATTGTTTAAAGAGATTCTGAGAGCAGTAGTATTTTTCTTGATAAATCTCTTACTGTTAAAAATGTGAGATTGTAGCAAATACTTATGTGATCCTTCAGAGCTGAATTCACCTGCAGCCCTGATTATTGGAACTTGCTATTTAAGACTTTATGGGACTGTAATTTACTATTGTTTTGAACAGGGATAGTTGTCTGGATTATCATGAAGCCAACAATAGAATGGCATGTGCTGTAGGCTGAGAACTGCTCCAGGTGGATATCTGTGCCTGGGAAAATTTGTGAGGACAAAGTTGGACATGGTAGAACCCTCATGACTTTATTTTCCAATTGTGTTGTTTTTTTTTCTGAAGTCCCCACCTGATTGATCCTGAGCCCTGCTTTTTACATCGTGTGCCTCCATGATTGGTTGTCAGATGTGACTTATGCCTGTGAATGTGAGCTAAGAAAGTTTTTTCCCTTATGTTATGCTATATGACTTTGTTATAACTATGTCTTTTTTTCTTTTACAGCAAATTTCTATAACCAAGAAGTTCTGTAAGTACAATTCTAAATCTATTGAATAATAGATTGATACTAGAACATCTCTGAGTTACTATAATAGGATGCAAATATGAATATCTTATAATTTTAACTTACATTTGTGGCCAAATAATAATATAGGGATAAGACAAAGATATAATGCGATAGATTTCCAATTAAATGGAATAGCAATTTTTTTTTAAGTGAAACAATTAGGGTTAAGTGACTTGCCCAGAGTCACACAGCTAGGAAGTTTTTTATGTGTCTGAGGCAGGATTTGAACTCAGGTCCTCTTGACTCCAGGGCCGGTGCTCTATCCACTGCGCCACCTAGCTGCCCCCGGGAATAGCAAATTTTGAGAAAAGTAACAGGACTAGACTGTTTCTCTAAGAATTATATACAGATATATACAACTGGCTTCCAAAATTTATATATCATGGAAATTCAGGCTTTAAGCATATTTTAGCAATAAGTTTCAAAATTGAATTTTTACACATAAATTATATGGACAGTGGTAAAGAAAGTAAAGTTATTTTCCCATTATTAAAGTATCTGATAATTTTAAAAGGCAAAAGAGCTCATTTTATGGTTGGACCCTCAAATTTTAAAAAGATTATTATACCAGGTACAGAATTTAGGTAAGGACAGAAACAGCAAATGATACATAAACTGAAATTCTCTGAAGTTTCAAAACTGGAGAATCAAATTCAAGTTACTGTATTAAATTATACTGTCAGAATTATCTAGGAACTTGTAGATTTGAAACCAGACAGGCAGGATTTCCTTTTAGAACTGTCCTGAGAATAAAACCTACTGTCTAAGAAGGGATATCTAGAGACCAGATAACTACATGAGACACCTGGGACCCAAAAGGTGCTGCTTAAATGGACATTAGGAATGGGTTACTGGGATACAGAGACTTGATGTTAGTTAACATTGGTGATAATGATTGTATTGCTTCATATGGTTTATGTTTAAGTGTCCATGGTTACCCTGGTGACATGTAAGTCACCCTTCTCAAAACTAGTCCATTGTGAGCCTTCTACGTGGTTTAATCTATACCTGACTTAATGTAATTATGCAATTTGGGGAATTATGAGAAAAACTTTATTGTATTGTTTGAACCTAGCCTTGCATGACTGGGAAACTGAACCATCACTATGTGCCTTTAATGAAGTTCCTATGTTGTGGTATTTTCTCTCATTTGTCAGCTCATATCAGGTCTTTCTGGCTACCCCCACAGCTGCCAACTCGTGGGTGTGGACTGCTGGATCATCTAAAGACTCCCTCTACAAGAGGACATCTCTTCCCATTCCCTGAGGAAGAGGCAAGTTTTCCATGCTTTCCTTGGTCTGCAGGTTGGCACCTTTTTGCACCCTTGACCAAAAGGAGGGGAATGTGAACCAGCTTGAGCCTCCCTTACCTGAGAAAAGCCTAAAATCCGGATTGGCCAATCAGGATAAAAACATTTTTGGCCCACTCTGAGCTTAACCTACCATTATGCTTTGTATGCTCTGGCATAACAGACATGTTGGGCTTTGCTCTGCTCTCTGAGTGAATCCAAGTCCTCCTGTTGCATTTGGCTGACTGGGAACGTTTGTCTGCCAAAGACAAGGCCCACTGGACATTTCCCTTATCTTTTTATGTCCCTCCCCTGTTAGAGGCACTGTCTTGACAGCCCCTATTTTACAATACCTTAGGGTTACCGTTGGCAGAAAGCCAGATATCCTGGGGCCACCCTACTTATTTTGTGGAATTATAATTTTGGCTAATGAAGGATACTGGGGTCCTGAGTTGGGGGGTTGGGGGCGGGGGCTTACTCTATGGTTATAAAAAAACTTCTTGAACTAAGCCTTCAGGGAGTTCAGAATTATTTTCTCTGGCTCAATAAGAATAAATAAGCTCCTATAAACACATATACAACCTAATTCTGTTTGTTCCTTAATTAAACCTTTGTTTAAGGTGAATCCCATTCTGTTCGTTTATTGAGCAAGACTTTCATAAAGGTGGAAACTGATTCTGCTTGTTTCTTTGGAACAAACCTTAAGTAAATAGTTGACACAGTACAAAGCATTCTGGAAAAGGCTGGGGATGGGAAACCATTCTCTGAGGGGCGGAGGCAGGAAATGGGGAGATGAGGGGACCCAACAGGAGGACTAGGCATCAGAGGGGTTGGTAGTGGAAGTTTGGGGGAGAGGAAATGACCAAGTAGCCCCAGGGTGTGGGCTCCCCCCAGTGGCAGGCCCTGGGATAGGCAGACTGGGCTGTGGCTATGGATCCAAGGTGAAGGCCTCACCCTCGGCTGCCTGCACTGGACGTTCGTCTTTGTAGCAGGGAGCCTGAGCCCCTGTGGCGGTCATGGGAGCGCATGATGGCTTCATGCTTGTGCTTAAGCTCCAGCAGCTTGGCCCGCATCTCTTCATCCCCACACACATCTGAGGGAACAGCGAAAGGAAGGGCCCTGACTGATGAGTCTTGCACTCTTCCCTTGACAGTACCCCTGGTGCCCTAATCAACTGCTGGAGGAGCTCACTCACCCAGGGGCGTCTCATCCAGCAGTGACTTCCCATTCAGATCAGCTCCATGGGCCACCAGCAGCTCCACTAGATGCACCTGTGAGGACAAGCCAAGCTGTCCCTGACACTGCCCTGATGCAGCTGGGCTTTGACACTTACACTTGGTAGTGGCAAGAGGCAGGGAGAGTTGGGGGCTTGGGGCAATGGAATATTCTGCAGATATGTATAGGGGTGGGTGAGTGGGAAGTGGGAGGCTGAAACCATGTTGGTGTCCTGCCCTGGAGCCCAGGAGGCCCAGCTCTGCTCTCCCACCTAAAATGAGGGCTCACCAGCCTCCTGCCCTGACCTCCCCTCCCTACTCACCTGGCCCCAGCAGGCTGCTGCATGCAATGGCTCCCAATCATCTTGGTCCCTGGCGTTCAAGTTGACCTTGTGTCCCAGCAACAGCTCAGCTGCCTCCAGGTAGCCACTGGCTGAGGCAATGTGTAACTAGGGGTGGGAGTCTGGGCTGAGGAAGTCCCATTAGCCCAGGGAAGGACACACTTCTCCTTTTCAGTGTTATCCATGGATAGACTAGTATTGCACTTGGAATCAGGAAGACATGAGTTCAAATCCTGCTTCAGACATTATATAATCTTTGGGCAAGTCACTTAACTCCTGTTTCCCTGGGTTTCTCCAACTGTAAAATGGGGATAATAACAGCATCTATTTCACAGAGCTGTTATAAGAATCAAATGAGATACTTGCAAAGTGCTTTTCAAACCTTAAAGTATCATATAAGATGCTATTATTATTATTCCCAGAAGGGAGGATGCTGGTTTTCTCTCATGCTGAAGCAAGACTTGCCAGAAGCAAGGCTGCTGCCTGACAACCATTAGCCATAGCTGTTTTCCAAGGAAGCCCTGTAGGATTCTGCCTGCTGCTACTCCCACAGAAAGGTGGGCTGCTCCATGGGGAGGGGCTGCAGCTGCTGGGCCAGGGCCTGGCTCAGTTTCACTGTCTTGTGGGCCAGGTCTTGGCCTGGTAGCATGAGTTTCTATTGAGACCCGCTGGGGAGCCTGTGGCTCCTGAAAGTGGAGCCCACTCAATGGCTGAGATGATAACCAGATGATAACCTCCTTAACTCAGCTCCCTACAACCTTTGGACTGACTCTGCTGGCTGTGTACCCTTCCAGGGGTCTGGTTCCCATTGACCTTAGGTCCAGATGAGTGAATAGCCATCAAAAAGACAGAGGCTTAGCCACAAACATTCCTTAGTCTCATTTGGTTGGCAGATCTGCAAGCCAGAAACCTGGGGCTCAGGTTACCTGTGGACTATCTGCCCATTCAACATTTATAGCAGGCCTGCCTGCCTCCACCTAAACCAGCAGGAGCAGCTGTTTGTTGATTCCTGGGGACAGGGCTGGGGTAAGCAGTTCAAGAAACAGACAAGGCCAGCCTGGTGAAACCAGGGGCTGGAGCCAGTTCTGAATTTGAATTTTTTTTTTTTTTTTTTTGTAGACACTGGAGACTGATGTCCTAACCCTAAAGGCAACAAATTCCAAAGGAAGGTAGCAGACCAAAGACACTAGTCTCTGGACAATAACCCAATAAGGAAGACAACTATAAAGCAACAAACAGAACCAGACTACTCATCTCTAGGGCAGACTGAAGAGTGACAAGAACCCAGGACAATTACCTACATGAGACATTCCTATGTAGGGTAACAGCATCATAGAACATAAGAGCTATAAGGGACTTCAGAGGGTAAATAACCACACCCTTACTTGAACCATGGGTTCCAGGGCAGGACGCCAACATGTTGACTTCTCTTTACTGAACTGTCCATTCTTGTATTCTTTCTTAGTTACATGCCCTACATACACAAGTCCTTTTCAATCTGAACTTGACAGGTATTGGGTTGTAAAGTTCTAATAGTCTTTTTTATCTGTATTTCCTTTATTCCTCATCAGAATTTTATTCTTGAATGTATCCCATCTTTCTTGAGCTTCCCTCTTGAACAACAAATTAGGTCACATGAACATCCTATTTTCACATCCTTCTCCATCTCATGAATTCTAGAATTACATCATCATATATTTTCCCACGATTTCTGTCATTTTTACTTTAACATTGTTGTTGGTCAGAAATAAGCTCTCAGTAACTGTTCTGATGATCACTTCCTTTAACTCTTGGGAAAAGTCTATAAGGTAAGTCAGAAATTTATCCTTCTGCTTAAAACAGAATGAGGCTTGCACTACAGCAGATGCCCCCTTGTGACTATCTCATCTTTGTGTTAAGTTTTGTGATCCACATTATAACCTTATTGTCCATGTGCTCTGACTCTTGGGATGGCATCTAGCATGTTCCCTCAAAAATATCACTTTTCTCCCTTTATCCCTAACCAACTGCACTCCACTATGCCTCCTTCGCTAATGTATATGGATTTCCACATAGGTTTATCTTCTTGACACAAAGTATTACACTGTCACAACTACTATCAAATGGATTATTTTTCAATCAGCAGAATTTCCCTCCCCACCCCTAATAATTGAGAATTGAAGAAAAACAAAATCCCTGTTACAAACTTAAATAAAATAAAAATAAATAAATAAAATAAAAATTTGCACACTGGTCATTCCAAAAACATGTGTCTCATCTTGTATTCTGAGTCTTTCATTCTCTATCAGGAGGAGGACAGCAGGTTTCATCATGGTCCTCTGGAGTCCTGGTTGGTCATCATACTGATCAAAGTTCCTAATTCTTTCAAAGTTGTTTGTCTTTGGTTTGCCATACTGATGTCACTGAATAAATTGTTCTCCTGGTTCTGTTCATTTCAACTCTATATGAGTTCATACAAGTCTTCCCAGGTTTCTCTGAAATCATCCCTTTGATAATTTCTTACAGCACAATAGTACTCCATCATATTTATATAACACACCTTGTTCAGGCAGTCATCAATTATAGGCACCCCTTCAGATTCCCATCCTTTACTATCCCAAAGAGTTATAAATATTTTTGTACATATTGAGTTTGTTTTGCTTAGGACTAATCCTTCTCTTATCTTTCCCCCAATTTTCCCCTCTCCCCTTTCCCTCCTATTTTCCTGTTGAGTGAAATGTATCTCTGGTCCAAATGTGTGTGTACAGTCTTCCCTTCTTTGACCAGTTCAGATGAGGGTGAGGTTCAAGCATGAGCCAATCCTTCCCTCATCCCCTCCTTCTTGTTTGTATAAATGTCTACTTGTGCACTCTGTTCATGTGAGATAATTTTCCCTAATCTTTTCCCCCTCTTCCCTTCCCTCCCTGTGCCCATGTATTCCTCTTCTCCTATTTCCATTCATAAAATCATAAAGACACAACAGAACCACTCACAGGATTTATATAATTATAATTAGACTCCCTCTGTGATCCACAATGATGATAGGGTTCAGAGGGGACACACAGCATCTCCCCATATTATAATGTAAACGGTTTATACTTGATTGGTTCTTTATCATTGACTCTTTTGTTTCGTCTTTTTATGTTTCTTTTAACTCCTGTGCTAGAACTTCAAAGTTTCTCCACAGCTCCTGTCTCATTTATCTGAGTCATGATGTTGAGGAACAAAACTGCTCTTCAGATTGTATAGGTGTTATCGGAAGGGGGTTGTCTCTCCACCAAGCCTAGTCCATCTTCTACTTGACAGCCCTTAAAATACCTGCATCTTTGCTAGCTGAACATCCCCGGTTTCATCAACCAGTTCTCATACGGTCTTGTGTGCAGGCCCTTCATCATCTTGGTTGCTCTGCCAGGAAGCTCTCAGGCAGGGTTAGCCTGGCTAGAGTTGGTTCCCAAATCAAGCCTGTGAGGAAACCTGCTGCTCCATCAGGAAAGGAGCCTGAACAGGAATCCCAGGACCTAAACAGAGTTTGTTTTCAGTTCTTTTGTTTTTTGCATATAATAGTATTTTTTTTTTTCTAATTACATGTAAAGACTGTTTTCAACATTCATTTCTGTAACATTTTGAGTTCCAAATTTTTGTGCCTCCTTCCCTCCTCCCCATCCCAAGACAGTAAGCAATGTGATATAGGTTATACATGTACAATCACATTAAAAATATTTCCACATTAATCATGTTGTAAAAGAAGAATCAGAACAAAAGGGGAAAAACACAAGAAAGAAAAAACAAACAAAACAAAAAAGTAAAAACAGTACACTTCAATCTGCATTCAGACTCCACAGTTCTTTCTCTGGATGTGGACAGCATTTTCCATCATGAGTCTTTTGGAATTGTGTTGGATCATTAAATTGCTGAGAAAAGCTAAGTCTATCATAGTTGATCATCACACAATGTTGCTGTTACTATTCTCCTGGTCCTGCTCATTTCACTTGACCAGTTCATATAAGTCTTTCCAGGTTTTTCTGAATTCCACTTCATCATTTCTTATAGCACAATAGTATTCCATTACATTCATATGTCACAGCTTGTTCTGCCATTCCCTAATTGATGGGCATCCCCTCCATTTCCAATTCTTTGCCACCACAAAGTTGCTTTTAGTTCTAACATCATCTAAGCTGGTTCTGTGAGGTCCCTTCCAGCTCTAACATTCTCTGCATTTGGGCCAATATAAAATTTCTAACATTTGTGAATGAAGGGTTATCTCTTCATTTATTTCTCTTCTAAAAACCAAGGGAGTTGCTCAACCCCACACAATAACTATCATTCCTGTAATGTTTTACAGTTTAAAGAGCTCTTTCCTTACAGCAACCCTGCCCGTCAAGTAGTGTTATCACAATCTTATTCTATGTATTTTTTTAAAAAAAAGATTTTGTTCTTTTATTTTTGTCTTATTTTCATTGATGTCTTTTGTTTATATAGCACATTTGATTCAAAATATATTTCTCCTCCTTCCCTACCTAGCAAGTCATCCCTTGTATCAGAGATTTTAAAAGAAAGAAAAAACACAGTTCAGCAAAACCAGCTACTACATCAGCCCTGTGTGCAATGTTCCAGACCCATAGTCCCCCACCTGTGCAATTACAGGAGGGAGATGCATTTTTCTCAACTGTCTTCCAGGGCCAAGCCTGATTGTTCAAATTCCAGTTTTCTGTCTCTTTTATTTTTCTTTCTATTTGCACCACTGTCATCATTGTGGATATTGTCTGCTTGTTTCTTCTTATTTCACTTTGCACCAGTTCACCCAAGTCCTCATTGTTCATATTCATTTCTTAGGGCACAGCAATAACATATATTTTGTTTGTTTAGCCATTCATTCCCCAGTGGCCACCTACTTTGTTTCCAATTCTTTGCTACCACAAAAAAGGCTGCTGTGAATTTTTTTGATGTATGTGGGACCTCCTTGGGGAGTGTGCTTAGCAGTGGAACCATCCCCATTTCAAAAAGGATATGGACATGCAGAAAGAAATTAACCTCCTGGATGTCACATGACTAGTATCTTGACTCCAGGACCTTTTTTTTTTTTTTTACCATGCAGCACACCGGCTCTCCATAATGATCCTTTGTTCTTCATAAACCTAATCTGTGAAGCTCAGCTCCCTGCCTTCACTAACAAAGAGCTTCTCTTTGGCTAGTGATTAGGCATGATCAGTTTTGTGTGCCTCTGAAGTCTTATCCCTATTGCTTCTTGTACTGGCAAATGAAACTTTAAGACTGGCCATTTATCCAGCAC